ACCCCTTTTCCCTCTTCCCGCTGCGCTGCCTTTCTGCCTGACTTCGGGGTGGCTCTCGGCGATAAGCGGGGCCGTTGGGGCCACCTGCCGTAGGTGTGGCTGGTTTGGGGCTCATAAATTGCGATTTAAGGAAACTGGTCGACGGCCTTATCCCCACAGCGCCGCTGCCTGCTGCCGCGGCGCCGCGGCCACTCGCTTGGGCGCTAACGAGACGGGGGTGGGCGCTCTTAGAACCCAAGTGTGTACTTGAACGCAGTTCCTCCTGCATATCTACACGCAAAAAAAAAGTTAGCTGTGAGAGCTAATAGTATTAGCTGGATACGAGACAGCTAAAAATATTAGCTGTGGTATAGCCAATACAAGTGAGCAGCGGCAGGTTGTCATTTAATCGCCATCATGGCCTATGTAGGTTTACTGTCGTAGCTAATTCACGTCGACTGGAAATTCGAAAAGAAGCCGGTGGGGAACCTATTAACAGAGGCATAACGAAAGCGCGACGACATTTTTTGTTTTGTGTCTAGCACGAAGTGTCCCCCAAGGCCCTCTTAGTGACGACGAACGAGAAAGCCGACAGAAGCGAGCGGGACTCGAACCCGGACCAGCCACCCAGCCGGGTCGTGAGCGACGCCTTAGACCGCTCGGCCACCGCGCGCCTTGACGGCGGTCAGTTTGGATCGTACACACCTTCCATTGAGAAGCGGGACGATACAGACACCGCCTATTCTCCTCCACATATAACAGAATCACTTCTGGACACTAAAATTAGTGCCGCTCCAGCTAATCCAATAATTAGTCGTGACTATAAATCAAGTTTTGCTCCTACAAGTAACCATTCTATCTCTCAGAGGAGAGCGTGCTATTGGCCCGAAACGACATAACGCCCTGGCCACAGCAACAAATTATACATGCGAGTGCTGCAAAATCTTTATTAGCTCTCAGAGCTAATATACCAATGCAGGCACAGGAAAAGGTCGACTTCCTCCGATAGCAATGACCTTGTCACATCGAGCGTAGAGTATTAGCTGTAGAAGCTAGAACTATTAGCTGTCCCGAATCCAGCTAACAAATTAGCTCTGAGAGCTAAACTTTAGCTAAGCAAGCAAATCATTTTTTTGCGTGTACTGAAAGCTCCATACATTTATATAGAGGTGTTAGTGCGCACTGACTGTAAGCCGACCGCGATCTGGCTCAGACAAATCTCAAGAATGCGCCAAGACGTCTATCCAGACGCAACGTTTATAGAGCAAAAATCCCGGCTTGTCTTGGGCAGGGACACCTGCTGCACCGGCGCTCCCGTAAGGGTCGATGCTTGCCGTGGCAGCGCCGAGCCTGTGGCCGCCGGCCTCGCATATCCAATTTGGGGCGCGCGGCTGCCTCTGTCGGGCGGGCCTCCCTTGTGGACTCATTAGGTTGCTTTCGGCTCTTTTCCTCTAGGAGCCGAGAGCGAAGTGGGCGCGTGGCTCTCTTGGACCGGCTGGGATTCCCTGCGGGACCTGCTGACCAGTAGTTTTACTAAAAGGCACTGGTCCCTGGTTGAATATTGAACAGAGTGCCAGAACAAATGTTTAGTTCTATATTACAAATTGATGCATACCGTGTGTAAGGTCAACTTTCGTAGAACCAAGATGAAGAGGACAGTGAACAGGAAGACCGTAGTAGAAAAGGCGTTCATTATCTGCAGACCTGCCCGTCTCTCCTCCCCTTTCTCTCGGGTCGGATTTCACGTTAATGGCTGCCTGCAAACTTTAGCGTTAATAAAGTAATGGCTTAGCCCGCAACATACGCCACACACGCCCACGTCACATACGAACCTCCCCTAGACTACAGTACTTGAGTAAAGGAAGTTTGATTCATCCAAATACAGCTTTATTTTTTTTTGTTAAATTTGCCAAACTCAAAAACTTGTCAATCGTTCAGGCAGATTTGGAAAACTTTTTTGCCCCGCTTCAGTGAATCAATTTGCCTTCCCCTGGTGTTCACTTCCCTGAGATTCCTGTTTGAACTCTAGTGCTACTGATCTAGCCCCTAGCCCCCCCCCCCCCCCCTAGTGCTACTGATCTAGCCCCTAGCCCCCCCCGTTACAATATCCGAGCGTTATATATGCCATGTTT